TTAGAAACTACAGATATAAAGTGATACATATTAGTGTAATTGTGTCTAAATATAGGATTTGTGGAAGATTCAACGCAGACAAGTTCAGTTTTCCATCTTAAAAATCTAGACATACTTTTGATCATTATCAAAATATGAATCAAATACGAAGCCCGTAGAAATTGTGTAACTACTTTGCACAGTGTAGAAGTTTATCATATACCTGTGTATGAAATTCACAATGGCCGATATGTAAGTAAACAAGATGATTGTAATATATTAGTTATATATTCTTCACTTCGTCTATACAATACATAAGAAATAGTTTGGTTGCAATAAAGTAGAATCACGTGACAGAATAGTTGTATAGTTGACAAAAACTGAATCTTGCACTGACGCAAATGTCTTATAGCGGCTGCAAGAGGCTTACACTTTTGTTGTATCACTGTTACCTGCAGCCCTTATACAACCTCTTAAATGACTGAAGTGTCCTATTAGGTGTGCCCATTCCGCTTGTATAGCTGTTCTAAGAGGGTTTTGCCAATGTTCTTACAGTATACAATGCTGTGTAATCATTCTTGCAACTCTAATAGGAGTGACAATTGTTAGTTGGGGAGCGTGTATATAAATTTTTCGATGTTAGTAAATGAATACGCTCCCAACCTCGGCAATTCTATTTACCTGTTAGGAATTACACTCATCATAGATTTCTCCGTACATTTGCTCTAAAGACTTGAAATGACTATTGTATTTCGATACACCTTCTTTCTTCTGCTCTGGGTCCGATAAGTGTCCTAACATTACTGCCGCATCTCACCCGTCGTGTGGGCAGCTGTGGGCTAATCCTGTGGGCTACGTAGTCATGCCATAAGTTCTGTCCCTCGTTTTCAAACAAGTGTAGACCTGTTAATACTTGTCCGATTGTTTACATTGTGGTGTCAGTTGATTAAGCGCTTTTCGGGTAATTACATATACCTCAGTTTGTATTGATCTCTCGAAGCATAACGATGGAGTGGGGCAAGGCAGAGAACCGTATTGCAGTGATAGCTTTACATAAGTGTAATCACAGTGCTAGTCAGATTTTTGAACTCTTACGCGGCCTTCAAATATCGCGTAAATTTGTGTCTAGGACCATTCAGCGGTACAATGAGACGTCCTCTGTTGATGACAGGCCAAGAAGCGGAAGACCTCGTCAAGTAAGGACTCCAGCAGCCATCAAAGCCGTAAAAGCCAGGATTCAAAGGAATCCACTCCGGAAGCAGAAGATCCTATCCAGGGAAATGAAGATTCCTGTCCGGACGATGTCACGCATCATTAAACAAGACCTAGGGCTAGGGGCTTACCGGAGACGTACGGGCCAGCGACTTACGGCCACCTTGCGACACATCAGGGCGACAAGATCCAAGAAGCTCTTGGAGAGGTACGCAGCTGGGGGATTCCGAAAGATTTTGTTCACGGATGAGAAAATCTTCACCATAGAAGAAAAATTCAACCGACAAAATGACAAAGTGTATGCAAGGAGTTCACAGGAAGCTTCGGAGATCATTCCGAGAGTTGAGAGAGGCCACCACCCTGCGTCAGTCATGGTTTGGTGGGGGGTGTCCTACGAAGGGGTCACTCAGCTCCATTTCTGTAAACAGGGCGTGAAAACAAAAGCGGCAAACTATCAGAGCGACATACTGGATCCTATCGTCAAGCCTTTAAGTGGTACATTGTTTGCCAACCAACACTGGGTCTACCAGCAGGATTCCGCCCCCGCTCACAAGGCTAAGAGTACGCAGCGCTGGCTGGAAAGCAATGTGCCAGAGTTCATTGCTGCGGAAGATTGGCCCTCAGGGAGTCCGGACCTCAATCCTTTAGACTACAAGTTGTGGGACCTGCTAGAGCAGTTGGCCTGCTCCAAAGCCCACCGTAATATCGAGTCCCTGAAAGCGGATTTGATCCGATCAGCGGCAGCTATTCCTTCGGAAGCTGTGCGTGCAGTGATAGATGAGTGGCCCGCGAGATTGAAGCAGTGTGTGAAGGCCAAGGGGGGACATTTTGAATAAAACTGTTTGATTATGAATTCTAAAAATGTTGTCGAATAAATAATATCTTTCATATAAATATATCTTATCTTGTTTCATTTTTATCATGAGATTATCATGGGACAGAACTTATGGCACGACTATGTATATTTGACCTACTTGATCCACTCAATTTCTCTATTATATGAACTATTTTTTCAGAGGGTCTTCCTTTGGGAACTGATGACGGAATTGATTGATTCTATTTTTTTGAATAATATTGATAGTTTACGAAATAATTGACAAAGTGTTTATCAAAACAAATAAAGCTCCATCCGTATAATGACGCCAATTTGGATTCATCATTACATGGCAGTGATATCGGTCAATACATTTTCTGTTGCCCCGTTCGTAAGAAAACATTACCTGTCCCTGGTGTATATAAATAAACTCTTGATTATCTAGAGCGAATGTTTGGGAACTCAAATACTTTTTCAATAACGTCTGACAAGCTTATTAGTTCTTGAACATACGCAATCGCGTTAAGTTGGTGACAGATCGAAGTGTTCTCAGAACATATAGCCCTAGTTTGAACAGCAATTTAATTTTTTCTTCTCGGTTTCATTTATCAACATCGAAAATTAAATGTCTTAGTTGATGCGTCAGAGACAGAGGAGACCAATTTCTTTTAATGAAAAGAACGTTGCTTGTTGATCACTTCTCCACAGCTCACACATGTGAAGCCGTCAAATTTTACTCTTTAAGGGGGTAATATACCTAGAATGAAACGCGTTCGTATTTTCCAAATATATAGTACCTATGCCTATTTCTAAAGATTGTTGGTGCATTGGATCAACAATATGAATAATTTCAACTCAAGTTTACCTTTTTTACATACTTCCATATTTTTTTCAGAAGTGTTTCAATCTGACATTCAATAAAGGGCCTTAATCGAGCCTAGCAACGACTTTATTCCACCGAATACAAAAATAAGTTCAATATTTTCAAAAATGAGCTCTGAATTTGGAAAATAAGAACTTTAATATACATAGCGTACAACCCGACAGTCAGGTTGACACAGAGACAGACCGGGAGATCTACGGGAATGAGTGACATGGTTTTTTCGTGATGTTCAATAAGTTCGATACCCTTTTTATAACAAGAACTGTCTTGCTCGTCAAAGTAGCCATTAACTGCCGACATCACTTCTTCATCGTTGGAAAATCTTTGACCACTGAGCCATTTTTTCAAGTCTGGAAACAGAAAATAATCCGAGGGGGCTAAATCTGGTGAATAGGGTGCATGAGGTAGCAATTCAAACTTTAATTCGTTAATCTGGACCATTGCAATAACGGATTTCTGAGCTGGTGCATTGTCTTGATGAAACAACACTTTCTTCTTAACCAAATGCGGCCGTTTTTGCTTGATTTCATCGCTCAAACGCTGCAATAAGTTCGCATAATACTCGCCGTTGATAGTTTTACCTTTTCAACGTAGTCAATGAAAATTATCCCACGCACATCCCAAAAAACCAGCGCTATAACCTTGCCTGCAGATGAAACGGTCTTCGCCTTCTTTGGAGCCGGTTGTCCCTTTTGAGTTCATTGTTTTGATTGTTCTTTTTCCTCGGGTGTGAAGTGAAGAACCCATGTTTCATCTATGGTTATGAAACGACGCAAAAATTCTGCTTTGTTGCTGTGAAACTTCGCTAAACACTCAATTGAAACATCTTCACGACACTGTTTTTGCTCGATTGTGAGCAATCGCGGCACCTATCTTGCACATAGCTTTCTCATGTCCAAACTTTCAGATAATATGCGATGAACCACACTTTTTGAAATGCCTACTATGTCTGCTAGCTCGCGCACTTTCAGTCGGCGATCATTCAGTATCGCTTTGTGAATTTTCTTCACCATTTCTGGAGTCGTCGCCTCATTCGGTCGACCACTGCGATGCTCGTCTTGGCCTCGTTTAAACTCACTACCCAATATTTTACTGTTGTAAACGAAGGAGCAGACTCGCCCAGAGTAGAATCCAGTTCAGCTTTTATATTGGTTGGGCTGAGGCCTTTGAAATAAACGTATTGTACCACATAACGTTGACCAATTTTCTCCATTTTCACAAATTCACTGAAAACGTTCAGTATTGATGGCTGCCAAAGAAATACTAAACAACGTCGCGTCGTCAAAGTTGACACATATGCTTTATAGGTTGCATACTTTCTAATACAATTATATTTTTCAAACAACTATCGCCATCTCTAGGTCAGGCCGGGCACTTCTGGGACCACCCTCGTACATTCTCATATGACAGAAAAATAGTTATTTATTATACAAGGGAAAAAGTACTAGATTGTTTAAATGTTATATTTAATACTATAAAGTAAAAAAAGTCTGATTCCGAGTTTTCTTTGACTCCACCGGAATTAGTAGAAGCAGAAAATTTACGAAACCGCGTATTCAAGATTCATGGAATGGAAGATGAAAAAAATATGCACTTCTTTGTCGGAGACGGTTTTATTGGGTTATTTTTCGGAATTGGCGCAACAACAGAAGCCATCAACAGTGTGGTCGAATTATTCAATGATTAAAAGTATGTTACGATCCAATAATAATGTAGGCATCTCAAAATATTTCAAACTAATTACATTTCTGAAACAAAATGTTAAAGGCTACAAGCCCAAGAAAGCTGCGATTTTTACGAGTACACAAATTAGTGATTTTTTAAATAATGCTCCCGATAAAGTTTATTTAATGGCCTAGGTTGTTGTATTTGGGATTGCAGGAGCTTGTCAAAATTGTGAAATCAGCCAGGTAATATTAGATGATATTGAAGATTCGGGAACGTTATTAATTGTGAAATTTGAGGAAACAAAGAATGATATATACAGGAGATTTGTAGTTACTGAAAAATATATTAAATTTCACCGAATGTACATAGCCCTTCGGCCAACAGCAACAAAGAATCACCGCCTGTTCTATGGGAAAATGTATCAATCAGGTTTCCGAAACAGTGGCTAATTCTCTTCAACTTGACAATGCTAACTCATGTACAGGTCATTCATTTCGAAGATCGTCTGCTACATTTTTGTTGAATCTGGGGGAGACTTGACGACACTAAAGAAATATGACGATTGGAAGTCATCAACGGTCGCTAGAAGGTATGTGACTGCATCGGTAGTACACAGGACAGAAATAGCTAACAAAGTGTTTAGAACGTGTTGTAGTGCTGAAATAACACCGGATTTGGCAGCTAGTACATCAACGAGAGTTGTGATGGCAGAAAAGCATATAATTTCAACACAAGAAAATTCGACTGTTGTACTGAATAGTTTAATTGTAATTAATAATTGTACTTTTGATATAAAGGAAATGTAACTTTATTGTATAATAAAATATTCTAAAATTAAATATATACCTTTGCTTATGTGTTTATACAACATCCGGGAAAAAAGTACTAATTTTTTTCCCGGGGAAAAAAGCATTTCATAAAAAGTGACATTTTGTTCCCTGATAACAGAGATAATATGTCAAACTTTTTTTCCGTCACAGAAAAAACATAATATCTCATTTTCCAAATTTTTCACGATTACAATACATGCGAATATTTAAATACATTAAAGATTTCCCACCAAAGGCGACAGTCAAAATAACTTGGTTTCCAATTCGATACCGATAGAACATGACCATACATGTAATGTCAAACTGTCAACGTCAGAAGAAAAGCCATTTCTCTCACATTTGACGGTAGCCTTATTTTCATGGTAATATGAGTGAAGACCAATTATGTGGCAGCTACACATATGACTGATAATTTTTCTGGAATCTACCTCAAAGGCTGTCAGTAATTCCGGAAAAGTGCAAGCATTTGTCTCAGTTGCCATTTTTTACCTACTTCCGTATTTTTTTTTGAACTGTTCCAATCTGAAATTTAAAAAAGGTCATACCAGAAACATCGATGATCGAATCTCAGCAGCGTGGATTTCCTTGTTACATATCAGCATATGTCGATAATATAGTCAAGTGAAACCTGATACTTCATTTTTCAATTTTGTTTCAGGGAAGTGTGTGAAAAAATTAAGGCCACATCAGCAAAACCACCGTTTTGTGTCCCGTATCATCATAAAATATTCGACAGCATTTCTGTAAGTGATACATGAAATACCTTTATCATTCATTGCCTATATTCTGAGAAGTGTTCCATTATAGTTACTTCTTTCTCTTTGATCCTCATAGGAAGAATGAATGTATGTGGTGTTCTATACTATGGAATACCGTATGAGCTATGTCTGTTAGAAAGTCTTACCACTCGCTCAACTGCACCTTATTACGTACCTGCAAAATTACAGGGATAACGATCTGATCGCCATAATTGTCAGGAACTGTCTATCAATATTTGAGACATAATATCTGTCATAGCTAAGCTGTGAGTTCTATGTTATTGATCGTTGTGCCATTCCTTCATCGGTGACGCTCACAGCAAACTGGTATTTTATATTTCATCTTACTTTTCCGAAATATGAATGAGATGAGCAAAGGTCACGTTAACATGCACATATGTAAGTGCTGGTCGCGTAGACAAGTATTTTTATTTACTGCGTAAATACTGCCTTTTGGTGTTATTAATTCAGATGCATTGTGTTATAAACAAAAGCTATTTCTTGAATCAGTACCCGAATATGTTTACTTTTATTTAAGAAAGGCAACCAAGCTTTTGGAAAACGGCTCTTATTTTCGCAAAAATCAGCGGTGCACAATTTATCGCTAAACAACTTTAAACATTTCGCATCGTGGAAGCGAGGCATCCTAATTTATTCGAATATTTGTATTTATGGGATTAATGTACCCTTAGTCTTGACAACATTCTGTATTTACTGCTTTTCTAGTAATTTATATTGCTATAATCTTTGCCTGAACCCAAGTGCTATAAATCCTGGTCCAGAAAATGTGCCAAAACCTTGTAGATTTTCAAACTGTCACAATATTTGTTGGGTGGTACATCATTATATTATTTGTATTTCCACCAACGTGCACAAATTTTTCTGATAGGTGCCTATTCAAGCGGCATACTTATACGACTCTGTAATGATATACGCGAAAGCAGTCACAGAAGCTCTGCGTAATAACCAGGACCCTAGAAATGGAAGCGCCGTCTTACAGGGGATCATCAATAGAGCTTACCACTCAATACAGGGATACGATGTAAGTCAAATGAAATACTAAGCCAATATTTTCTAGTGATATTATATTATGTTTTATAGATTCCAAGAAGCAAAATAATCTGATCCTTTTAAAAGTGTATAGGGGAATGAGGCACCACCATTTTTGTCAGCATCCTAAATGTTTTTGAATTCTAGCGAATACGCGTTGTCTTTGAACATTTATAGAGTACTTCTTTCTTCTGGATATATTTGATACAGACCGTCGAAGTTTTATAAACCAAAATCAGATGCGAAATTGCTCGATTTACAAAAACTGTTCAAAATGTCTACGTTCATGTAGAATTGAGGCCTCAAAATTCGTACTCACAAGGCACTGAACACTTTCGAGGATGTTTCTTATTGAGTAATTTTTTGATTTTCTACTGAAGGTATGCTAATTAATAACCCAAAGGACTTAAGTCCGAAAATCGAATAGACCATAAATTAGGTATTGAAATGAGGCTGGTATATTTGACAATGTTTGGCAGGTTACAAAGAGGAGATCAGTTTTACTAATTATTTTGGACAGCTTCTGATGACAAGCATCAGATTTAATTATTGCTAATAAGAGATGAAAGATGAAATGTTGTTATGGGTGAGAGTGTTGTGTTGTATACAGGGTGTCCTCAATGTGGGGCATTTCTTTTTAAGAAACAACTACGTTTGTAATAAGGCTAAATGTGCGGTGGAACAACAGCAAAAGGTGAAAAAAAAATGAATAAGTACTCACCGTCCATCGGAATGAAATTTCAAGTACAGCTCTGACACTTGTAATTATTGTTCATGTGCTTGACAGAACGAAGCATCAGTGCAGGCTTTTAGACCCCGATAGCATTAAATATTTATTAAATATTTTAAAAAAATATTTGTTAAATATTTGTAGCGACATATTTTTTAATATTTAATAAATATATTTCTTATATATTTATAAAATATTCATTATAGATATTTTTGGTATATATAATTCATATCTTTTTGCGATATTTTTTCCAAATATTTAGAAAATATATATGAAGAAAGGTTTTTAAATACCTATCAATTTTATATTTTGATGAAATATCTAAAATTTTTCGTGAATATGTATGATATATATTTTCAGTGTATATAGAAAATTCTTCATTGGTTATTTTAGCAAAACTTGTATGCTAAATAAAATTGGGTGTATGAACAAAATTCATTCTAGATATAATGGTTTAATTTGTTAGAAAAGTATTATCAAAAAAAAAGATTCTAAGCCTTCTTTTCTGCATCTTCCAAGTCCCTCCTCTGAAAAAAAACTTACTAATTATGAAGTATTATTGAATACATAAGCTGGTTTCCAGTGCATTTATGGGAATATAAAATGCATTGGAATAATATTGGTGCTGAGCATGGTGAGTTACTCCGAGTAGCTCAACTGGGCCACTGAAAAGCAGCTCTATAATGCACCTTAAAGGACTCCCCAAGGCTAGTTATTTATGGTCTGGTGAATACCTTTATACTCAACTGACACAATAATGTTTACCAGTCAGATAAATTAACCTATGTATTTATCGAAAAACTTACCATTTTCCCTTTTCCATAAAAAACGCTCAAATAATGAACCAATTGGAGGTACACAGGAAGCACGCTATCATGCTGAAAGTCAAAGGTAAAATGGAAGCCTCAGGCTAGCTTGCTATTATCCCACTAGTCGCTCGAGGTCACACGCACATGCGCCGTAGCCGAAAATATTTAATGAATATTTTCTAAATATTGGAGATCTAATATTTTCCATTGATTGAAAAGTAAATATTTAATGAATATTGTAAAATAAATATTGTACTTAAAATATTTAAAAGATATTGAATAAATATTTAATAAAAATATTATATCACAAATATTTATTAAATATTTGTTTAAGAAAACAAATATATAAGTAAGATAAAATTATTATTATATTTTAAATGAATATTTAATGAATATTTCGTGCTATCGGGGGATTGGAATGCCTTATCCGAAAGAATGTAGCAGATTGCACACGTAGTCTGTCACCTCAGTTACTGAACATTTTATTTCGTCCCTAACAAAAAAAAGAAACTACGAACGATCTTTAAGAACGATCTGCATGCACTCGCGAAGCCTCGGTAGCTTTTTGAAGACGCTCACCGTAAATTAAAATGTTATGATGGTATGAGTGTGCCTTTTTTTTGTTTTTTTTAGAACCGATGTGTAAAGGTTTTGTTTACAAGGCAGTTAGCGCCTGGATTGAGTACTGTTACGCAGTGTACGTATTCACGTTTGGTCTGATCAATGTGTAGGACCGGATTAGATTGATTTTGCTTCGCCTAAAATCTCGATAATCTTAAGACTTTGGTGGTATACGTTACGAGAAAAAAGACTGCGTATATTCCCAAGGTGTAAAGGAAAGTCCCAACTGTGAGGACACCCTGTACATTATATCTGAAACAAGGCAGTTCTAAGAAAATCGCCAGAAACCAAATGAGCACTCCATGAATTTTGAACCATGCCTGTGATACATCCTGTATATTGAGCAAGGTAGTTACGTGAGAATTGCCATTCTTGAAATATCGAATAGGTGGTCATTTTAGTTGAAAGTGAGAACATTTCGAAGTAACAATGCCATTCTGGTGACCTTCCCAGTATATTGCGAAGTGTCCCAATTTGTACACGGCTATTTCACTTTTATTATTTCTCATGATGCTTTTTAAGGTAATAGGGTTGAATAAAATACGGATACAAAAAGTATTCATTATTTTTTATTCAAATTGTTAAAGCGCGAGATCAAAGTTTTGCTTCTTAGTCTTCTCTCTCTAGCAACGTATGTCATGATGACTTTTGAAAGTCATCTTTTTTTATAATAATACAGTGGACCTCCGATAATCCGACAAACATTATGCAGGGCAGTGACGGACTATCGAATTTGTCGGCTTATAGAGCACTGCCTAAGACCCCCTATAGTCCCGAATTTTTTACAAAAGAGTACCTTGTAATCCGACAAATTACATATCCAATGGTAAGATTATATGTATATTTTATGTATATGTATGTTCTTTAAAGTACAAATCATACAACAT